ATTTTAGCACCCTTCGACTATCACTTGTTTTTGTCCTTACAAAATTTTTTAAAGGGTAAAAGACTCAAAAATGAAAAAGATATCAAATAAAGACAGGTTCAGTTTTTCGCAAATAAAGATACAACAATTTTCAAAAATGCGATGTACAAATTGCTTTCACGCTGGCAAGAAGTCATTAAAAATAATGGCAATTATATTATTTAATAAAGTTTACTGATGGTAAGAAAAATCTGTGTTTTATTTCAATAACAGGCAGAATTTTCCAGTAGAGTGAATACTGTAAGTAGAACAATAATATAATCTGACAGAATAATATTCATAGCTATAATATTTCTCTCAAAGCTGGTTTATATTATGTATTGACAGGGTTCGTAGCGGTGCTTATAAGTCCTTATATTTGAAAATAAAATATAAAGGCCCTTATAGGTGCTTACTTTTTCTTTAAAGCCCTTATATTTTTGTTTTTAGTGCTAATTTTTTGCTTTTAGTGCTTTTTTTTTTTTTAATGAACGCGCTATTTTTCCCCGTACCAAAGCCGAAACTAAATAAACAACTCTTCTTCCTAATATGGAATGTCAGATGGTGAATCATACTCCCGGAAATAGTTTTTTCCCCTTTCTCTGCATTAACATAACCTTTGGTGTGCACGAAGAATACAGACAGGTGCCCTGTCGTTCTATTGGTCAAAGAGTTGGGAAAGCAGTAGAAAATTCTGGTACATTCGGCATTCTTTTCCTCCCACCCAAATACTACACACGTTTGAATTTCTATCAAGATCTTAAAAATTTGCATTCTCGTTCTGCTTGGTCAGTTCATATTCATGTTTATTATGATCGTTATGCTTATATTATGAGTATATGTATGAATGTTTATAATAACATTGTTGCAGTAACTGCTGAAGTATAGTAAACTTCCAAAAATGTTTGTGTTTTAACACAGATTAGCTTTCTAAAGAATAATATTCGGAATGGCTTAAATAAAAGGAAAGTAATCGAATAGTCAAAATAATTTAATTGTTTTGGCCCAATACATTATACAGTTTGAAGGTTGGGAGGTTCTCCCATTTCTCCGCAAAATCTTGAATATTCGCTGCGAAACGAGCAACGGGCCTTTTTTTTTTTTTTTTTTTTTTTTTTTCAATCAACTAGGTTCTGCGGTCTCTACCAACCCCAAGCGAAGAATCTATTTCCGGAAATTTAACGCCGTCTGTTGAAAATTAGAATAAAAAACATCCCAGTTATTTAGTTCTTTATTCTCCCAATACCGGCAGCTGTTGATTCCGATTGCGTAATATCACGTAATTCATGGCTCAGGTATTGCGCAATAATGTTTGCGATATTTTGCAGAGATAATTAATTTTGATGTTCAGTCCAAGATTTGTTTATGAACACTTAAAAGAGTTTTACTGTGTTTGCTAAGCAGAATATTTTTTAGTTTCGTTAGTTTATTTTTATATGATACACTTATCGAAATGTCAAAAGCGTTTATTTAGCAGAAAATCTAAAGAGCGGCTACAGTCTACCCCCTCCCTCCGCTCCTCTTTTTCAAGTTACGCTCGACTGTCCAGTATTTGCCAATTTCCAAGTATGCGGGTTAGTTAAGCTTTTACTGTTCAAAGATGACTGCATGAAGCAATTTCCCATCTTCTGATATCAGAAATGTTCCTCTTTTTTACTTAAATTACTTTGCTTGCAATATCTGTTAAGGGAAAACTGATATACAATGAAAATTTAGAAAATGTTCGGAATTTAGATTTAAATTATTTAAATATCCATATGAGTGGAAAAATAAATTGTATTTATTAGGTCCAAGCCACTACAATAAATATGCCTTATTATTATTTTTTTTCTCTATTTTGAACTGAAATTTCATCATTAAATCTTGTAATATAGTTTAGTTCTGAATCGTTTTTTTTTTCTCTCATTGTAAACTAGTTTGTAAATTGAACTGTTATTAAAATAAAAAAAAAAAGTAATTATTTTCCATGTTGAGGTAATGCTTATTCTCTCTTAATAAATACTGCATTTTTCATACTTTAAATGACAAGTCTAATTTTTAAGGTTATGCAGTTGTGTATGATGTAATTAGACAGGTGCTTATTTTTTTTTCCTTAAAATGTGCTTGAAAAGTGCTTATAGGTGCTTATTTTTTAAACTAAAATGTGGCTATGAACCCTGATTGAATTATTATATATTAACAGGATTAAAATATTATTGAACATTTTATGTTGACAATACTTCTGGAATTATCACAAAAATTTTAACTTCAGTGCTCAGATACTGAGAAATAAGCTTATTTTTAATTATAGTAAACATACGAGATACTTAAGAGGAATACTTTCATGTCAAAATTTTTAAGGTAATTATCTCCTGTTCACGATACACGTGAGGAAAGTCCAACCAATTTTGTTCAGTCCACTGAGCCACTGTTGAGCCCTTGCCAGTGGGATTGAAAATTTCTTAATAACATTCTAATTTTCCAAAAGGTACTGCACACTGAATGAAACCCATACTTTCTCTTTACATGCTAAGAATGATGGAATAAATATTTGTGCATTTAGTCTCTTCTGCTTTAGACTGAGTTTGTCAAGTATCTAGCACTTCTGTTAAATATAATTTTGTGCCAAGCACATCAAACCGAATGCTTTCTAGCTCCATTTGTTTGGGTTGCCCACTTTGTTTATAAAGTCTACAGCATCTTAATGTAACTCTTTAGTATTGAGAATATCTAAAGTAGTCAAGTGAATGAGAATAAGACCATCACACTCATATATAATATGCTGCGGTGTTTTCTCATTCTTACCGCATTTCCTGCATATAGAGTCCTATTAAAAAAGTCCCATAGTATGAACGCGTTTTCTGAAATAGCAGTGCCTACAATTATTTGTATCTTCAGTCTTGGGCACCTAAGAATTTCAGAAGCAATCTTAGCAGAAGGTCTCGTGAGTTTTTTAGTTCGGGAACTACTGTAGAGGCATTAAGATTTTTTTGAAGCAGGAAATTTAACAAATGTGCATTGCCCTCGCCAGGACTCGAACCTCGGACCTCTCGAATACACGCCAAGTGTGCTGACCATTACACCATGAAGGCATGCTAAGAAGGCAAGAGAAATACCTTATAACCCATTGGAGTTTAATTGAAAAACATAAAGGTGCTGATGGGATTTGCAAGTGCCTAGAATAATGTTGGTCATCTGGCAATTCCCCAGAGTAATGCAAATTTGGAGAGGATTTTCAATGTTGTGCTGAAATAAGGAGTAAAGTTAGATCTAATATTAGCAGTGACTCATTAGAAACTTTTTTTATTAGCAAAAGCAGGTCTATGTGGCAGTTGCTATGCACAAAATTGTGCAGTTTCTTTCTAAATCAAAGCAAAATCTCCACTGTGCATAACATTTGTATGAAAACTGATTAAAGTACTATTTTTTCTTAACAGATGTAAGTAATAAAAATGCTTTTTTACATGTTAGTATTTTTATACTGTTTGCATTTAAGAATCAGTAACTGAATTTTCAGATATTAATTAGTAACTATTTCAAGTTAATTCATTATTAAAAAGATGCTTTTGTCATTAAAAACATTTTTTGTGATTGAAAAAAATCTCTTGATTTCTTAAAAATGTCTCCTGACTTTTGAGTCTCATAGGTTAGCAAGTATGCTAAATAATTTATCACCTCTGTCCTTTAATGTCTTATTGGAACCTTAAAATATATTCACTGGGTTACAACCCCAGGAACTCTACATGAAGCTATGACACTAACTGCATCGATCTCTAAATTGAGCATGTGACAAAATGAGACATAAAATAAAAAATCAACATAAAGCTAACTGTTAGTAAAACGTAAATAAAAATGTCACTAATCTTCTTTCAAATATGTTAACTATTATAAGTGAAAAGTATTTAAACTATTATAAGTGAAAAATATTTAAACTATTATAAGTGTAAAATATTTAATGCTCCTTGATAAATTTTATACAGTTGGTTTTATTCTCAAATTTGTTTTATAATTGTTCGTTAAATCATGTGTAATAATAATGCATTCTACTTGCAGATCTATTTTATTCTTAGGATGGTAGTACAAAAGTGAAGTTCAGACATAGCTAATATCTTTAATTGAATATATTCAGTTCCTGTTAGTTGATGGGTCCTTAATTTTTTTCATTAATGGTCCTTAAGGAACTTAATTTCTGTGTGCAAGAAATGTGTACTAACTCTGTAAAAGTTCTCAATTACATCTTACTTGTTTTTAAAACTCCACTTGTGAATATTTTGTTTGAAGCATTTAAAGAATTAAAACTGAGGGAACATTAAGTAAGAGAAGAATAAAAAAGTGGAAATTAAATTGAGATAAAGATTAAACTCTAAAAGACTAGAGAATCAAAAACTGATGTAGCAAAGAAAAGTCAATCTGTGAACAAGGCCATTTTAGGTCTTTCTTTTGCCATTTAGTTGAGGTAATATTTGAGAAGGCAAAATTTTTATGTTAACATCTGCAGTTCATATATGAATAGGAAATGTTTTACAGAATTAGCTACTGATTTGAGTGGCAGCTTGTTTTCTTAATATTCTGTTTGCATTACAAATACTTTAAAGAAGGTTAAAACTGTTATACTTTGTGTTTGATATTATCCATGAATTCTTTTTCTTTCATGCATTCAGAAACCATTGACAGAAGTAAGATTAATCTCTTAACACTCATTTATACAATAGGTATATTGATTGATTATCGTGTACTTTGAATATTTTTTCCTACTTATTTTCTAAAAATTTCAATCTAAATAGTGTTTCTGTGTTACTTTTCTGCAGCTTCTTATTTGATGTATTTAAAATACCAAAGAGTGCTTTTTTTAAAAAAAAATTTATTTTCTCTTGAAACTGTAAACTGTTTCATAAAGGTGATTTATTTCCATTGTGAGAAATAGGTTTTGTCTTTAATATTACAATTCATGTCATATGATTTTTATTTAGTATGCTAAATGTTTTCATAATTTTATTTCTTAGGTTTATCAAGAAGATGTGTATGATTTGTTGAAAAAAACTAAAGAAATTTTTACTTGCTCAGTTAGAGAGGACAGCGATGGTATAAAGGTAATTTTACTGATATATTTATAATTAAGCTGAATTCAAACCAGTATGACACTGAGAAAAATGGGAAGGAAAAGTACTTCCTGTGAGTGCTAGCTCTCAATTCAAATGAAATTGACTCACTTCCACACGCTAAATCACTATTTACCATATTTTGTTTTAGTTCCACCTTTTCTTATGGTCTTAATGGTTTTAATAGTTTTGCTTCTGTTCCAATTATTAGATTCCTTTTATAAAAATGAAATTAATCTCTGTGAGAATTAAATTTATTTCTTGCATTGCATGCTAAAAAGTGCAGAATGTGATGACGTAGGCCAATTTTTGAAAATCAATTATGGTACTGTAAAGAAGAAAATTTGATCAAACAAGTGCAGCTAAATGCTTTTGAAAGTTTGATCATAAGCTACATTTTTAACCAAGTCTGCATCAATATTACTGCCTTAATCGTTAATGCAGTTTGACATATTAATTTTAAGAAATGTCATCAGACTTTTTGGCATACAATCTTTACCTTTCAAATTATAACCTTGTTGATGCGTTAAACTGAATGCTCTAAAAACAATATGCATACTCCTTAAGTAATATATATATGTTACCGTGAAAGACCGAAATTGGAGAATTTTGACTTTCACCAGAGAATGTCAACATTCACCAAATACGTCAGTGAAAGATCGAATATTTCTTTATATTCTTGCACATTCGGACCCTCACCGGTGTACGTCGACAATCACAGATATGCTCTGGTGCAGGTCAAAAAGAGAGGAGTATATGTACACGCTGCCATTCCAAAAGGAAGTGTTCCACAAATAAATGCAGTTGTAAAAGCAAGGGCCTCTTGTGCAATTCAAAGTGTCATAATAGTTTACGTTGTTGCAACAAATAAGATTTGAATCACATAATTTGGTAAGTTTATAACTTCTATTATTTTCCTTTCTCATTTTGAATGTACTGTGTGTTTTAAGTTCTTATGTTCTTATTCTGAGTCTCAAGTGCGTTTTTTCGCGAATGAATTACGGAGAAGGAAATAAAATATTCTTATATGTTCAACATTCACCGGTGTAAGTCAGAAATAAGAGTATTTGGAAAATATTTCGGACATACACCAAGCGACTATGTGAATGTTGACATTCTCCAGATTTCGGTGTTTCACCGTAACATACATATATATATATATATATATGTACTTTTTAACTATAAAACAATTAAGACAAATTTTTGAGCAAAATGTTTTTAAATGTGTATTAAGTTACATTAGACCTCCCAAAAAGTAAGTAAATAAGGCTAAGGTTCTAAGTTAGCAAAAACAGTTATTTAATTTATTGATTTTCCCTCATCTACAGCAAAATGGATCAAATGAATAATTTGTTCAAATTCTGATAAAAATTAAATTGCACTTAAATTATAGGAAAAATGTAATTTCTCAAAAAGCAAATTATAAGCTCAAAAAGCACTTTTTAGTACATATACATGCTCTATAATTAAAATAATGTTTTATCTTTAGTTTTAAATAATGCATCTAATTGATTTTGTTTATGTCTAATAACATTTTAAAACATTTACAGCCAACCTGCAGCTAACTGAATAACAGTACAAAACGCTTATAATCTAGTCTGTGTTTACTCTTGGCCACTGAATGGGTGGGCTGCATAAAGTCACTGTGGCTTCCTCTGCTTTTAACGGTGCATGTGAACTAGTTAGCATTTTAAAAACATTTGCTAAAATTTCAAATTTTAACAATATTTTTCAGCAGTAACTGTACATAATGTTTAGTGCCTGATATATTTATAGAATGGAAATAAATTTATGCAAAAGAAATTGATTTTAATATATATTTTTTGCTCTAATGGCTATGCTTATGTATTTTAGCTGTTTTGTACTTTTTGTACACTGTCTATAAATTTGAATTGTTACACAATGAGAAAAAAAGTATTATCTTTCAGATACAATGATCTATAGCAAAACGCATAGCAAAATTCCAACTGGATGTTAATGAAATTGTAGTGTACAAGCCATAGTCATGTTTCTGTAGATCAGTTTTTGCATATCTTAGATATGCAGATACTTTTCCGTTCCGCCGGCACAAATCTCGCCAAGTAGACTTTATTGGCGACAACATACAATTATACACATAAAAAATTTTAACAAATGTTAATTCTAAGAATTTTTTATTTTGAATTTTATTTATTTATTTATTTTTTCATTTTAATATCATTTAAAATTTGCAAAAAGCCAGTAAATAAAGACAATAAATTTGTAAAAAGACATTAATTTAAGAATTTACTATGCTTTCATTGTTCAACATCCTGATTCGCCGGTTCATATCACGTGACCCCGAGTAATCTCATCTCGCGTAAACTACACTACAAAAATCTAATTCCCTCAGTAATTTTCTACATTAATTTGGAATACAAGTTTAAATGCAAGAATTATTTCAATTCATACAAATAGCTTACTCAGAAATTATGTAAAACCGCAGTGCTTTATTTCGCTAGTGCATTCTCATTAGAATTGATGAATTTAACCCTTGACCTTGCCTTTTCTGTATTTTTGGCTTCAGGTTAGCCATATGATTGATTGCATCCTAATTGATTTAATTACCGCGAATGTCCTTATGGCATAAAATTTGATCTATCTGGTACAGATTCTATGTAATTGTATGCCAGTGTTGAAAGAAGTAATGTATGTGATAAGAAATGGCTGCAAATTGTTTTGAAAATGAGGCATAAAAGGTTACCAGCGAGGATATTATGTTTGGCATCAGTTGTACCATTACTGGTGAATTTATCGCCTGCGCCAGCAAAATGGAAAAGTACCGACATGCATATTAGTAGCTCTGACTTCTTGCACAACAAAATCAGATATTGTATTTTCTTTTCAGTTCAGAAAGGCATAAAGAAGCACACTTTTCTAAGACATAATTAGTAAAAAAATCTCTTAACTTGGAAGAAAAACTATATGCAGCAGTCACTGCAGAATCTATAATTATCTGCAATATTTGTCTTGATGGTCCGTTTTAACTACCTTATTAGCATATCCTTATAATATGAATCCTGTATTTTTCATTTTGTAATTGGTGCCAGATGCACATGGGTTTCAAATACTTATCTTGAAAACAGGGTTGCCACGCTACCTAGAAAACCGGAAAAAGTCAAGGAATTCGGAAATTGACCAAAAAATTCAGGGAAAAGTCAGGGAGTTTAAAGTGTTTTAGTCAAAATCTGGAAAAGTCAGGGAATTTCATACAACGATCCCGCCAAAAAAGGCGAGTGCGCCGACGTCGGAAGAGATCACTTTTTTGGCGAATTGTGTAGCACGTGAGTGTCATTCGGGCAGTTGGCATAGAGCCAATTTTCGCAGCTTCAATTTGATTGTCTTTTTAGAAAGGCAAAGCAAGTTTCCCGCAACTTTTGGTTTCCAGTAACCTCGAGAATCGCATGTGCAGTGCATAAACTAAAGAAAGTACCTGTTCTCGTATAAAATAAAATGGGTTTAATTCTAGTATATGGTACCATGAATATGTATTGTAAAGAAGGAAAACCTCTCTGCAACAGACGTGACTCGGTTCCATCATAGCGGGAAACAGCTGTGCATGCGCGATATATCTGTTGCCAAAGCTCGAAACCGGTGTTGAATTTCGAAGGTCACGTTAACAAGAGTTCATAAAATGAATATTGTTTAAAATGTCTTTAAACTCTAAGGAAAAGAAAATATTTTTCGGCGCAAGTCAATTAACTAACTCATGGATTAGTTATTTTGAGGGGGGGGAATCTACGAAAATCCGTTTTTAAAATTATTGTGAAAAATCCAAGAAAAAACGTTCTTTGATAAAACGTTTCTTCTTGGATTTTTCGCAATAATTTAAAAACGGATTTTCGTAGTTTTCTTTTTTGTCAAAGAACGTTTCTTAACACGTGTTTCTCAATTTCCTGTACACATTGCGGAGAGGGAAATTCTGGCCGTTCCATCGTCAAATCCCTTGGCAAATTTTCCCTCCGCTTTTTACATAGACGTTCTTTGGTCAGAATAATCTCCATGTATGGTACAGCGGGATTTGGCGACATGAAGATGAGCAGTAAACGGGTAATTTTGTTCTTGGCGACAATTTTCAAAATCATGCGAAGGCCGTATTGTATACTAGGATTTTACCGCAAAATCTTTTTTTTTTTTTTTTTCTTTCTTTTTTTCTTTTCTTTTCTTTTTAATAAATACCTTGTCATTTTGCAGTAAAATAAAAAAATAGTAATCAATCATCTAGGATATCTTTATTTTTATGTTATTCATATCATTTAATGTTGCTTCTTCCCTCTAAATTTATTTATCATTAGTAAATAATATTTTCAAATGTCAGGAAATTTTCTCTGGCATAATCTTGAAATTAATTCGAGCAGTATGATGACATCACGAAATTTAATGCACATATTTTTTCCTTATGTATGCTGCGAGATAAATATAAAATACCTCAATGTATTAAAAAAATATCATTAAATAGATTTTTTTCTTTCGTTTAGCTGTAGAATGTCTGCAAAAAAAGCCTTATTTTATTCCAGATTGGGCAGATTCTAATCTCAATCTTCAGTGGAGAAAACAACTCCTATTATAATTATATTTGTGTTTTCAAGTGTTAAGGTGCCTTTTAAGAATACACCTCACATAAATTAAATTTACCTAAAATCTAACCTAACTTTTAGCATTGCGTTGTGATTTATAAGAACCGGATTAGCCTAGTGTTGAACTGGGGATGATCATGAGTAATAATTAAATAAAACATACAGTTGTTATCCAATGTATATATCTTAAATTTATTAAGCTTTTTTAAGTGGAAAAGTAAACAAAATTATCAAACAAAGTGTACCAATCAAACAAAGTGAATAATTAAGAATAAATGTCCTCTGGGATTTATTGAATAATTAAGTGAATTTGCTACACAGTACAAGTAATACCATAATTAATTTAACTCTTAGCACAGCCAACGTACATTACGCGGATAGACTGGAATTTTCTTG